GGAGACAAAAGGGGGGACTGAAACACGGCCGACCCGCCATGCCCTACCAGCATTACACTGCATCAGCACCTGGCTCCTGGAGGTGGTTCAGGCACTCAGTGAGCAGTGCGTTTTTCGTAACATGGCACAGCGTGAGGGATGTGTCCTTTGAAGCTGTGCAAAATAATACCACCAAAGTTTCATCCGTTAAATATAGCAACTGAACCTTGTGAACATTTTTGTGCATAACATAACTAAATATGTTATGCAGCTCTCTAGCTACCCCGAACAATCTGCTGAATTCAAACCTCATGCTGCCCATTGATTGCAATGGGCATCTCTAATGGCTACTCAAGCGCACTGCATCCCCTGGCCGCAGTCCAGTAAAGCACTTAGACATATGCCTGTGAGTTCCCTAGCTTGGCAGTAGGCTGTTAGCCCTTGTCAGCTTTTGAATGGCTTACAGCAGTGTCAAAAGGGCCCTAGCTGTGGATGCAGAGTGTCCTGTGTTTGGAGTGGAGTCTCTGCAACCCACTTTCAGGCAGGTTCAATTTAGAACCAGAGGATCCAACCGCACAGTGAAGCGAAGCGCAGTGCAGAGGTGGGGTGCCATGCTAACTTTATCAGTATGGAGCTAGATGTGTTTTAGTTTACGTTATCATGGACCCTGAACAAATGGGTCCTCCTCAGAGGACAGAGATCTACGGATCCTTCCCTATGTGCTTATCAGGCTGGCTGATAAAACTCTGCTCCACACCATGCATTACTGTCACAAAGGGGACTTCTCAAGAAGTCTCAAGACTACACATTTCCAATGTTAGTACCGAGCTGTCTCAATATCGTCCACATGAGATAAACATGAATTAAACACTAGAAACCATCCCCAAAGTTTGCTGGCAGAAGTTGTTCCTCCTTCAAGATTCTCAGCAGTAAGTAGGAAAACCCATTTTTATTCCAGAATCAGTATCAATATGCAGGCTTTGCAGACAAGCTGAAATGACCCATTTAAAACATGAAAGCCAAGAGGTAAAGATACTGAAAGTGACTGGATGATGGACATAATTATGCAAGACAACCTTTTTAGATACTTTTTAGATAGCTCAAAGCAGAAGTTATTATTTGAAGTGATGATTATTATTTTGAGGTGATCAAAATCCAGTCAGCCTCAGTACAGTGAATAAGCTGTCCACAGCTGAAAAATAACATGCTGCAGAATACAGAGCAGCGAGTTGGGCACCACTTATGCAACAGACCATTTATGGATATTTTTTTCCCCACGGTAGTGTACAGCATGAAGATGTTACTCAGAGCGCTAATTACAGTAGAATAGAGTATTGGGTCTAAAAATATTCCTACTGAGACCAATGGAACAGGTATTTAAAAAAAAAAATAAATTTCCTTTCACTGCATAACCCAACATCCTGAACTTAAAAAAAAGCTAGATGGAGCAGTCTCTGAAACCTCTTTTGGTGAGGATCACCATGGAAATCGCAATAGTTTCCTTAATACTGCAACATATATTACAGGGAGATAAAGGAACTAATACTTCATCTGTGTGTGATAAGTTTTATTTCTTTGATGCCAGATGAAAGGAGTCTCTTTGGCAAGGAAATGGTAATCTCTTGTTGTTGCACATACATCCAAATTGGAAATTATGACACTTCTCTCTGCTTTCCCAAAGCAAAGAAAACAATTCAGAAGCAACGGCAGACAGTCCCGTGGAGTTTTTTACATGCTGGGTGTCTGATTCTGCTTGTCACAGCAAAAACAGAGCCTCTATTTAGCAGTGTGGAAAAACAACCGAAAAACTCCAATCCTTGTCCTCTCTGAAACCCCAGCAAAATTCCAGGAGGGAACAGACATGAGATCCATTATTATATCTATATTACTGAAAGAAACAGTCAGAAATTTGGCACACAGACGGTGTGAAATCAGAACAAAAACAAGTCTAATCAAACCTTCAGAATAACTGCCCAAGTCCAAAAAAAGCAAAACAACAGATTAAGTACAAAATGCAAGGTTAGGGGGGAGATCAGTCTGCTCCTTTCTGCGTGCTTATTGCCATGTTGACTCATGGTATGTTTACAGACTGACTAGGAATGAGTGAACTGAATAATGCATTCGTCGAACAGCATAGATATTTCTGCTGCTCAGCCAGCTGGATGTTAACCAACCTATTAATATTATTTGATTCATATTCACCCATACAGATGCTTTCACTGGTCTAAGTGCTCCAGCTTAAGTGGAGAGCTCTTCTCCATACCCTATTGAGTTCTGAAACATCCAAGGAAAATAAGCACTTAAGGTGACAATGAAAAAGCATCAGTGAGATTGGAAGAACACATTTCAGCATGTTGCTGGTAGGTGGTGTAATGTGCCAGCTGTCCTCAAGTTTCCACGATGTGCCAAGTGACCTCAAGGACGTGCTAGTGATGGACATCTTAAGTCCTTTCAAACAACGGCCCAGCCGGTGGCTAGTGATGATACTAGAGATCCATGTAGAAAAAACAGATGTTAGTATAAAACAGACAAAGCAGCAGTGCAAATGAGGCGTGAGAAAATACATTTCACAGAGACATAAGCGAAAGGTAGGTGAGAAAACGTGCTTCAAAGGCAAACTTGCCAAAGCAGGGTTGCAAGAGGCATAGGTCCTTATTCCCTTCATGAAAACATGAGATTGAATAGGAGGAATTCTTTAAACCCATTGTAAGGAGGCATGGGATAATTATTTTGTTATTTGTGGTAAAGCAGTACTATCGGTGCTGAAATTGAGAGTCTCTTATTTACAAAGTGTGTCTGCTGAGCGCAAATGTCCTTGACCACTAAATAGCAAAGACAGGTGCAGGGTTGGGAGGAAGGTTTATAAAACATGAGAATTAACACATTCATCTGAGCCAAAAGTCACGGGCTGAGAGATGTTTCCTCAGCCGTAAACAGGAAATGCAGGGACAAATATTTTTCCTGGGCAGAAACAGGCAGACCCTTTTCTCGGGAAAAGACAGTTTCTCCTAGGCCGGGTGTGGGGTGTTGAATACTGGGGGAGCACAATGGTGTCAGCATAGCTCAGACACAAAAACCTTAATCCAGGACTCCTGAGCTGCATGGTCACCTTTGTGTTGGTGTGTTAACAGTAGTAACCTGTGCTGGAAATCAGTGGGGAGCCTTCTGAGAAATGCCTCCATGTACAACAGCAGAAGGAAAATGAAATAACTGCGTAATTTCTGTGCAGTTCTTCTCTGGAATAGAGCTTTCTCTCAAGGCAACCTCTACTTCTGTAATTGCCTTGATTCTGGGGAACTGACTTCAGAATTTGCCATTGTTGATGTTCTGATTTCTCTCCTTTCTTCCTACCTTCTGTCTCTCAATTCACTGCCGTTAACATCAGATTCCCAAGTATTTTTTCTGTCATTCCAAATTCCCAAGTGCAACAGTATCCTCGCCACTTTTATACACTCCATCTTTCATTTTCTGGCATTTCATGCTTTCCCTCAGCACAATCAGTCTTTGGGTTACCATCTACCACAGCTCTGGGATGGAGAGATGAAACCAGAAGCTGCTGTAACTCCCCTAATCACTGCTGTATTTTATAAGGAGTAGAAAAAGGCACTTGGGAGGGGGAAAGGTGTGCAGCAAGAAGGTTTCCTTTATATGCTTCCTGTCTGTCTGCTGTTCTATGTTCTGTACTTCAGCTTCAGAGATGCTAGAGGAGGGGAAAGGGGACGTGGGATGGGTTCAGCCTTAATCCCCCTTCTTCTCATCTCAGCTTCTGTTCATGATTCAGCCAAATGCCCAAGACTTTAACTAGAAGCCCACCTTGGAGTTTCCATTTCAAGGGAATCCTGGGTCTGCCACGTTTCAGTTTACTGCAGCAGTAACCCACCTCCTGTTCACTGGTGTATTTTCTTCTCTCTTCCTTCACAGAGCCTAAAGCAAGTTGCAGATTAGGTCGGTCTGCATCCACATCAGGTGTGCCTCCTCCATCCGTTACTCCGCTCAGGCAAGCCAGTGATCTTCAGCCGAGCCAGGTACCATCGTTAGCCAATCGTGAATGACTTCATGTGCTGCAACATGCCAAATGTTTGTCACCTCTGTGTCTGTTGTTTGTTACAGTAAATGATTTTTTTTGTTTTGTCTTTCTTTTCTGTGCGTGTGCGTGCACGTGCACGCATCTATGTGTGCACATCTCTCATTGGCCATGAAATTCCACTGGCCACAGCCAGTAGAATTTTCTTTGCTCTTACTTCCTTGTATCCTTTCCTGTCTTCATTCTGTAATATAAAAGTAGTAAAACTGTACTGTATGAATTGGCTGGGTTTTTTATTTTTTCATGTTTTCTGTACTTTTCTACTGTCTTTAAAATTTATCAAACTTTGATAAATTTAATCTATGTTTTTATGTAAATTTCTTTTAAATGTCTTGTCTAAAGCACTTGCACCAATGTTTGTCAATGACTTGTACATACCTGACTTCTGCCCAGTTGTACTTTAATATTTGTGCCAGTCTCACATTTGTTTTGAGCTTAATGCATGATTGTATTACACTGTGATTTATCACTGTCCTGAAAACTGCTCTTACAGCAAGTTATTTTGTTTAGTTAAGGCAGCTAGACTCTCTTCAGCTATAGGCCATGTAATGCTTACAGGACTATTAAATAGTCCACAGTAGTTATAGTATTGTATATCGTTGGGAATCAAAAATGAAATCAAAGGGGTAACATTTCCATGTATCTTAAACAGAGATACTTTTTTTTCCTCATCAAAACCAAAAATGCCACATAGACCCTTTAGAAAGAAATGAAAGTGTTTGGTTTTGGCAAATTTCTCCAATAGCAAGAAAATGGAAAAGAAATAAAGACATGGGAAACCTATACTTACCTTTATTTTATATGCTAATACTGATATTGTATCATTTTGCTGCGCAGACCTGTATTATTAGTTTGACAGAACTAACTGCTGAGAGTAGCAATTGAGAGAAGAGGTTTCACTTAAACATAATGTGAATGCCTTCTGTCAAGCTCAAAGCACTCCAGCATTGCATCACTTGTGTGTAGGTATACGGGCCTACACATCACTGTGTATGTGTGTGGGTATATGTATGCACAAAGCGGCGTAAACATATATGTATATATGTGCACATACATATATGTATGCTCACACACACAAACACCCTTATTTAGACAGTGAATTTTCAATTGGCTTTCAGGGAATTAGTCCCCATAATCCTGTTGAACTTCAATGAGATTTGAGTGGAAAACTCCCTGAGGACAGCTTTGCAATAATCACATATTTAAGTTGTTTGTAGCTTGGTGAGTTGCTTCTACAAGGTCTTGACCAAAGTGGAGACCAGAAGAGTAAGGTTGATTTACTCAATCCAGACAGCCAGCTACTTGCTAGGAAGGTTATATTTGGGTAGCCCAGTCCATACAGGTTAAAATTCCTTAACCTGCAAAACTGGTGCTGTTGTATTACTTCTGAGCCCTGCTGGACACAATGCCTAACAGAACCTTGCACGTTTCTAAAGCGTATTTTACATAAGAAAATCAAATCCATAATGGAGATTCAAAATGACAGCCTATTTAAATACATCAAGTGTTCCTTCATCTAAGGAGGAAATTAGCGTTATTGTACTTCCAAAGGTTTTGAGTGTTTCAGTGTCATGTAGTACATGATTTTTGATTTAATGGGTCTTACAGAAGACATGATGCTGTGCTGGTTACTCAGTGGCAAAGGCACCTTGGGTGTTTTAAAGGGATTTTAGTCTCTCAGTTTATATTAAGAACTAAACAATAAGCCTTGAAAGCAGAAGCTGATGTGATAGAAGAGATAATGAGCCTCTTAGAAGCTGCAGCCAGGGTTCACTGAAACCGTGGAGGAAAAATCCACCCCACTTCCTACAGAAGAAAGGAAAAAAGATGATAAGAGGAATTTTCAAGTGACTGTAGAGGGTGATCTTGTTAATTGAATAATACATGGTATGGACATGGCTTCATGAAAAACAAGAAAAACTAGTAAAAGCTTTCTCTCCCTGTAAGTCTTCCCTTCAGGCAGTCAATCTCTTACTGTCCATCTATTAAGCTGTCATTTATTACGATGGCATAATTTTTTATAGGTGCGGATTTGACCCTGATTCCAGCGGAATGACAAAAGTCTTACTATCTCCATGGCAGATACAAACATTGCTTTGATTGTGTTCTTTATACACCTATTCTATCTTAGTGTGAAAATAATCTGTGACAGGTGAAATGTGTTTGGAAATGGCTGGGTTGTTAGCTCATTCTGAATCAGACAGATTGTGGCATACAGGGTATTTATTTTTGTGTGCTGTGACTATTGATTGTATTGATACTGGTTTCCTTAACCACATCGTAATCAGCAAAAGATTAAGAGGAGGCATCCTGTTATCCACCTCTTTGTTGATGAGATGGGCACAGCTAACTTTCATACAGGGATATGAGATCTGGGAAAGGGCAGGTTACTGTTAATTGGTTTTCTCAAATCTTCATGGATCCCAGACTGATGTTTTTCAAAATGTTTAACTTGGGGGAAAAAAAAATCAGATTTGCAACTGAGCTCTCAAGGCCCACCATTTTTAATACAGAATCATTCAAGGAAGTGGCAAGGATGCTTAGGAATTAAAAATAGGTCTGATCTAAAGAAACCTAAATTATAATTCCAATCAAATATTGGCTACTTATGTAACTATTGAAATTTAACTTTCCTATGCCTTATTTTCCTGTCTGTTTATTTGTGTAGGAATTGTGAGGATTAACCAGTTAATACTCATGGAACATATTTATGGTGTATTGATGGTGAGCATTATAGTGATCATTTATAAAAAAAAAAAGAAAGAGCTTACAAGCAGAGATGAATTATGTGGCTGGTCTCTGATGGAGAACACTTTAAAATTCTGTAGTGTAGTGGCAGCCAGTAGTTACCAACATGCTGAGCCAGATAGAGGGCATGCTGTTCTGTACTTAGTTCTGGTAAATGGTGAGGGCACTGTGGAAGAGCTGCTTGCAGGAAGTAACCTTGGGCAAAGATGTGAATTTACTCAATTTAAACTGAGAGATAAACATAAGTTTATCTTGGAACTGAAGTTATTGATTGTGTAAGGACAAAGTTTAAGAAGTTAAGGAAGTAGCAGAGGAAGTCAGGTGGAGAGCTTGGAACTATAATATGGCAGAAGCATGGAATATCTTTGAGCTACAGATGTGGCAAATAGCTGTATTTCCTAAATACTTAAATACCCTAAAGAGAGGAGTGTAAGTAGCAGAGAAGTGTTCTAGATATCACAGAACACAATGCTTTGTAAAGCTTCTTCAGTGTTAGCAGAGAGCTTACAGGGAATGGAAAAATGTTCCAGGAAATATAGTAAGTTATATCTTGGAGATAAGAAATGAGTGAATAAAATTAGAAATAGTGAAAGTCCATCTGAGTTTGGCCTTCAAATGGAAATGAAAGCAAGTACCAGTCATGTGTAGCCATCCCAGTGGACAGAGAACAGTAGAAGTTAGCCACCATATGAGGTTTATAAAGTAGAATAAACATGGTCCAAGGATGCCCCAACAAATAACTCATCACCCATATTGCTGGAGCCTCCGTCCTGGTGCCTGATGCTTCCATAGCAGGTGGGGTCAGGGGTTTCACCCTGCAGTGGTAAATGCTCAGTCGCACCAGGGGACCTCCATAATGAACAAAATTGTTCACTTATGTAAAGCAAGCGGGATTTGGAGTCACAGGTATTGCTGCAATACAGTGATGTTTCCCTGCATCCTATCATTCTCCACATCTTCACCTCAGGGTAACAGAGGATTACACTCTATTGATGGACTCAGAAATCCCTGTCACATACAGGATACAAGTGTACTGAGCATGTCTGTCACAAAAGAAGAAAACGTTTCAAGCAGCCTTCACCATGAAAGTCCCTCTGCTGGAGAGCAGAGCATCTTGCATCTGTATTTTTAATGTACATACAATCATCTCTAGGTCACTGCCAGGCTTCTCCAAAAGAGTCTTCAGCACACCAAAAAATCACTGGTTTCCATTTTAAGAAAAAGGAGCCAATGTAACTATCTCTAGATTTTTTGCTGCAAATGAATTTTGCGAAGTGAAGTTTGTTTTCATGAAGACGTAGACAGCTATTGGAAAATTACATGTGTTGAGCTGCTGCATAGCAGCACAGCAGTGCATGTTTGTAACAGAAGATCCACGATCTGAAGGAAAATACAGCCTTTGAAAACAAAACTCCTGATAGCTACAATGTGGTATTTCAGCTCTTCTGCAAAGCAGAGCCTATTTTGAGACAGGTTTCCAAAAAACTGTGTACCTTATCTGCAAATGCACAGCCTCTCTTCATGCTGCCTGCTAGTTACTTGCTTTTCAGCGGGAAGACAGCACTGCCCTTTACTGTTGCCTCCACAAGGTATGCTATCTTAATTCCAAAGGTTTGCTTGGCTCTTAAGGTCTGGTGTCTTCTTGTGGGGAGGACTGGGCAGTGATATCTAGCTCCAATTTAAGCAAGGAAAGAAGATTTAAACTTCACAGCAATGATCAAAGTAAAATCCAGAAGCCATGCTGAGATTAGAAGGAATGACTCAGAGAAGGGAATGAAGATACATGGACAGCTATGAATTAAGGGGTTTCAATTCACGTTGAAGGAATGAAGGAAAAGCTAGAAAATATATCAGAATCAACACTCAGGTTTTTTGTGGCTTATTTTTTTCCAAAATGAAGCTCACTTCATTACTTGCCTGGTATCTGCCTGAGCCCCCAGCAAGCTGAGACAGCATTTTTCTTCCCCCATACGACCCTGTCAGTGAACATGACAGAGAAGGCCCACGTGCTGGACAAACTAACCATTACCTTCCAAAAGTGAGGAGAGCTTTCACGTATTTTATGATTTATCCAAATGGAGTAACAGCAAAGGGGAAAGGCCTCCCATTCACAGAATGGACCTGACCATGTAATTATTGTCTTGCACCAAATGAAGTGAATCCATTAATAGTTTATTTGAGTATGTATCTTTG